TTTTTTTTTTTTTTTTTTTTTTTTTTTTTATAAATTTTGACACATTTATAGATAATAATAATTATTATAATTTTACAACGATAATCATAAATATTACGACGTTATTATAGAATATTAATTTTAATTGTCGCAATCTTGCGATGAAAATTTTAATTATTATTATCTTACAAAAAAATCGTAAAGAGCATTAAAATCTAATTGAAATGTTAGAATACAAATCATAATTATCGTAATCATAATTATCATATTCTTACAATAAAAATTCGTATTATTATAATCTTCCCTCGAAATAATTACGAATAATTAAGATCTTAGAATACAACTTTCATAATTATCATAATCATAGAATACAAATCATAATTAAGTTACTCCTACAATAAAAATCTTAATTATTATAATCTCATAAAAAAAAAAACAAAAAAAATTACGAATAATTAATACCTTAGAATACAATTCCAATAATTCTCGCAATATTACTATAAAAATCGTAATTATTGTAATAACAGAAAAAGAAGTAAATAATTAAAAATCTTAAGATACAAATCGTAATTATCGCAAATTTGCAATAAAAATTATAATTAATATATTATTATAATAAAAGAATTTAATTCTGAAAAATATCTTACGATAATAAAAGGTGACAATCATCGTACACATTTTTCAAAGAAAAAATTCAATTTTATTGTAAAAATAAGAATTTTGATCGAACGTGTAAGAATGAACAATACAATGGTTATAGGTATACTTTTTGATTTTCGTTTAACACAAGTGATCTTAGTTTGTAAGGATCTCGTGGCAAGGACGCCGAGAAATAAACTATCGTATTATAGTGGAAATGTACGTCGGTAAACTATGTAAAAGGTTCGCGTCTCGCGTGCTATTTTCGTCAAGCCTTGTCTCTCTTTCTCGAGGAAAGCCCTTTGTCCACGTCCTGTCGCGGTACTTATCCTCTGGACAGGACAGGTAGGCGTATAAGTTACCGTGGACCGGGTTAAGAAAGAGGAGAAGGCCAGACTCACCGAGAGATAGTACTACGGTTAGGCTAAACTGCGAATCGTTTCGAATACGAATCACGAAATTCCTTCATTTCAAAAATTATTTCGATTGTTATCAAGTATGAAATGAAAAAAAAAAAAAAAAAAAAAAAAAAAAGAAAGATTTCTTTTTTTTTCTTCAGATTTATGATCATGAATCGTTTCGAAAGGATCACGAAATTCCTTTATTTCCAAAATTATTTCAAGTATTAAGTATGAAATAAAAAAAAATTGTTTTTTTTTTTTTCTTTTTTTATTCTTTAGATTTATGATCACAAATCGCAAATCGTTTCGAATACGAATCATGAAATTCCTTCATTTCATAAATTATTTTATTGTCAAATTGATAATAATAAAATGATTTTTTCTTTAGATTTATGAATTAAAAATTTTATTGTAAAATTAAAATGATAATTAAAAGAAGAATAAGAAAAAAATCAAATAATTTTTATTTATTTATTTACTTCTTTTTCATGAATGAATCGTCTTTATAAAAAAAAAAAAAAAAAAAAAAACAATTATTATTTGTTATTAAATTAAAGCAATAAAAGGAAACACAAAAAAGGTTATTTCACAACATCGACATTAACAAAAAAAAAAAAAGTACTATTATTATTATCATCGAATCGATCCAAAATTAATATCGAACAATATTTATCGAACAATTTTTCTTTTTTTAGGATGAAATTTTTAATCTTCGAATAGTTTTTATTCCGTTTTTCCTTTTCTTTTTTCTTTTTTCTTTTTTTATCGGAAATTTTTTTCCGTCATCTTCGTTTTTTCTGTCTTTTTTCTTTTTTTTTTCTTTCTTTTTTTTTTTTTTCTTTTTCTTTTAATTCTACTTCGAGTAGGCCAACCTATATAAACATGAAATCGAGGCGCCAGAACATATTTCACGTATGTAATATCATGTGTAATGTCATACGTAATATCATATGTAACACCTACTACCAACTTCCGGTTAGAATACGGGCGAGGGTCGATGTCATTCGTGAAAGCAGTCGAATTCCATGGGACACGATTTATCGCGTCCTTTCACGTATATTAGCGTGGTTACGGAATGCTTTGGAAATTCTCCGCCAACGGAGAACTCGACAAAGACCATGAGATAAAGATAGATGCTTAGATATATCTATATATAACTGTTTATATATATATTTTTTTTTTTTTTTTACTTTAAAGAATGTGTATATATATATATATATACTTTCAGAAAAAAAAGAACAATTACAGAATTAGAGTACCATAAAATCTTATTTATATTTACAGTATTATAGAATTAAAAAAAAAAAGATTGTAAAATAAAGTTTCAAAATTAAAAAAGTTTCAAAATTAAAAAAGAAAAAAAAGAAGAAAAGAGGAGAAAAAAAATAAAGATTATAATTTTAATTATAATTTTGATTAATTATAACGAAAAATAAGATTTTGAAAATTTCCAACGAATTACTTATCATTACTCATTACTGTCTTATTTATATAATTTTATCTAATATAATTTATATGTAATTTTTTCTTTTTTTCTTCTTTTTCAACAAATACAGTAAAATACATCGTGTTTTTCGTCATATTTTTTTTTTTATTTGGAATTATGGTTTTACAGTTTTATATATGTTAAAAAAATATTTCATATAAATTCATAAATTTATAATTTTAATTATAACATTTCCAAAATTCTTTGTCCCTTAAACGTTGACTATTTAATTTAAGTCATAAATTTAAATAAAGTCAATGTCGTAAAATCCAGTAAATATCGTACAAAATGGATCATTGAAATATTTTCAAGTAAAATCATAAAAACATAAAAAGACAAACAAAAACAAAAAAGAAATCAAATCAAAGAAAAAAGAAAAGAAGAACAAAATAAAATCATAAACGAAATATAGTTCTAATAAAGTTCTAATATTCGATAAATATCTTTGACACGTTTTTACGTGAAAAAAAAAAAAAAACACAAAAAAGAAAAAAAGAAAAAAAAAAAGAAAAAAATAAAACAAAACAAAAAAACATTGAAAATAAAATCCAAGATAGATTTGTCAAATTGTAAAATTTAATTTAAAGACAATGTTTTGAAACGTTTTAACGAAACATTTTAAAAAATCTTTCAGATAGATTTATTTTTATGAATTTCTATGAATTTATATAGTCTCCTTTTTCCTTGCGTATGAACTATGAGAGTTCATTTGAGGTCAAGATTAATGAAAAAAAAAAAAAATATGAGAAAAATGTTCGTCGTTAAATACACGAGAATGAATCGAATCGTCTTTCTATGTATGTATGTATATATGTATATATGTATATATGTATATATGTATATATGTATGTATGTATCTATGTATATATGTATGTATGTATATATGTATGTATGTATGTATAGAGTGAGATCTAGTCGGGAAACGAGGAAGCGTGCTTTCCTTCACGTTCGTTCACGGACGAGCGATCTCTCGATCGAGCGCGACATCCTCGAGAGAGCCGATCACAATGCCTTCGAGTACGAGAAGATTAACGGCCATACTTCTTCGTGAAACTTTCGGAGGCGAGGCTTCCGCGTTCGTATAATCTATTGGTAAATACACATACATACGAAATAACATTTATCGAGATCTTACGAAAAAAAAAAAAAAAAGATAAATAAAATAAGAAAATTATAGAAGTAATTGAAAATTGTCGAGTGAAAAAAAATAAAACGAATAAAACAATTTTTTTTTTGCTCGTAATTAGATGGGATTACAAAAAATATGACAGTAATTATTATTTCATTAAGGAATAGAATTATTTTTTTATATACTCGATCAAAAAAGGCGTAATTTCTTTTTCTTTTATTTTCTTTTTTTTTTTTTTTTTCTTTTTTTTTTTTTGATAATAAGAAAGGTTCCTTCTTAGAGTGTCAAATTTTTAAAAAATCGAAGAATTATTATCGACTTTTATAATGTGCCAAATTAATAATAATAATAAAAATAATAATAATAATAATAATAATAATAATAATAATAATAATAATAATAATAATAATAATAATAATAATAATAATAATAATAATAATAATAATAATAATAATAATAATAATAATAATAATAATAATAATAATAATAATAATAATAATAATAATAATAATAATAATAATAATAATAATAATAATAATAATAATAATAGTAATAATAATAATAATTGATAACCATATTTATCTGTGAAACTTTCAAAGGTGAGGCTTCCGCATTCGTATAATTTATCGCTAAAGACAGACGTATACTAGATAGCGTTTATCGAGATTTTTATGAAGAAAAAAAAAAATAATTAAAATTTTTTTTTCGTAATTAGAATTACCAAAAATAAAACGGTAATTAATATTAAATTAAAAGAATTATTAAATAATATAAGAAATATAAGAAAGAAAAGAGTAAATTTTTTATCTTATTAAAAAAAAGTTCCTTTCCAAGACAGTGTCAAATTAGAAAAAAAAAAAAAAAAGAATAAGAAAAAGTTCCATTATTAATTATTAATAATAAATGAAAAGGTCTTTTTCTTATAAAAATGTTAAATTAAAAAAAGAAAAAATGCAGATAAACTGTAACCAAATATCTTACGAACGCAGAAATTTTTTTTTTTTTTAATAAAAAACAAAATAATAACAATAATTATAATCGTCGTATTAACAAAATCAAAATTGACAAATTTTTACGATCGATTAGAATTTATTCAAAAATCTATTGAACAACTTTTGTCAAATTAAAAAAAAAAGAAAGAAAACAAAGGAAAACGCAAATAATTATACTTTTTCTTCTGAAAAGTAATATTCACGATATTCAACGAAACAAAAGATCCAACATATGTGTATATATATATATATATATACACATGTATATATAAACATACAACTACATATACGTGCACATATACATACATATATACATACATATATAAATATATACATAACAATCCCTCTCACATTTCAAGGTCGTTCTGTTTCAGACGAACGAGGAAGTCTCGTCTAGTGAATCGCGTTCGAAAAAAAGAAGCAAGCAAAAAGTGAAGAGCATGAGGAGCAGAGCAAAAAAAAAAAAAAAGAAAAAACGAAGAAGAGAAAAAAGAAAAAGAAAAATAAAACTACACAATATCTTCCTTTTTCGATCGATAACACCATCGAAACACATCCGGAGTAATCACTCCGCATACCAACTGTTCGTCTAGTTCGTATCGAAATACACATTGAAATACATTCGCCTATTTGATCATCCCCCTCCACCCATCCCCCACTTCGTCACGTACGAAGGACAGATTCGGTAACGTCGAAATCATAAATATGCGACCGCGTGGACCACTTTCTAATACCAGGAGCACAGAAGAAGCCATTGATATTGGATTACAAGAGGGTTGTAGTCGTTGTTTCCGTGGAAGAGATAAAGGGAGGGAGATGGCTGGTGGATGCAGTGGGTGGGATAAGGAGAAAGGATATCAGAGGAAGGGAATAAAATGGTTAAGCGAAGGATGAAGGGAAGAGAAGGGATGGTTGGTCGTGAAACAGAGAGGAGGGGTAGAGGTGCCCAGTGAGCTGGGAACGGGGAGTAAGAGGAGGGACAGGAGGGCTAGAGGGAGGGCAGGGAGAGAGAGAGAGAGAGAGAGAGAGAGAGAAAGAAAGAGGATAAAAGAGAAGGGACATATACAGGTGGCTTTGAACGAACAATGCTCACGACTTAGTCTTTACAATGGAGATCATAATCAAGACTCTCTCGACGTGTAATGACTTATAGTCGTTCGCTCATGGCGAACAATAGATCGCCGACAGAGATGTTTATGGCGGGAAACCGTCCTGAATCGGCAAACCACCACGGGCTTCTTGCCTTTAAAGAGAAAAAGAGATAAGAGAGTGAGTGAGTGAATGAGAGAGAGAGAGAGAGAGAGAGAGAGAGAGAGAGAGAGACTGTTTGATACGACGCTTGGTACGATGCTAACAAAATCGGCACGGTTTTACTCGAACGAAAAAAGGGTTCTACGATTATTACGACAGACCAGATGGATATCGTAAGAAACGTAAAGGTTGTTGTCACACACAGGTGTTCAAACGATCTCATTTTATAATATTATAATATTATATGTACGAATTGTATGGGCTTTTTTAATCTTTCGAAATATTATTAGGATTTTGTCCTTTCGTTTTTTGTATTACTTCGTAATGTAATACATATGTATGTACGTATGTATATGCATAAATACATATGTATGTATGTACGTATGTACGTAAAGTAAGTTCTTTATATTCTCATTCGGAACGATCGAAGTATACAGTTGTTCAGTGATATTTATATATATATATATATATATATATATATATATATTATATATATATATATATTATATATATATATATATATATCTTTTCATTCATTTTCGATCGATATTTTTTTTTTTATTTCGTTTTATTTCTTTTTTTTGTTTTTTTTTTGTTTTTCATTTTATTTTATTTCTTCCTTTTACCAATTAACGACAAGTACGATAATCTGTAAAATAAATGTTTATAGATAAGTATGTGAATATACAAATAAGTCTCCCTTATGTCATTTGTTTATTATTTTCAATGGCACGAGGAAAGAAAAAATAATTAACAAAAAAAAAAAAAAAGGAAAGAAAAAAGAAAATGGAAAAAATTGAAAGAAAATAAAAAAAAAACATACCATTCAAAATGATATCATTAGAAAAATTATTTCAAATGAATGTCATTTAGAATGCCACTTTTCTATCTTCGCTGATCCTTTCTTTTTTCTTTTTTTTGTACCTTGTGATAACAGATATGTTCGTTTCTTTTTTCTATTTCCTTTATTCTTTCTTTTCTTCTTTTTTTTTATTTTTTCTTTTTATTTTTTTATGACATCAAAAACATTCAAAGTAACGTTATTATTATTATAATTCTATGTGTACGATATACACATAACACGTACACGGACATAATTTAATTTCAAACAACACATTCGCATTAGAAATGATCACCATGTAAACGTTGATTTGAATTCGTTGATAATAAAATCGACAACTTTACGTTTCATAATCCGAATCAAATTAAATCTGTTAAGTAGTACTTATCCATTTCAAATGACGTCACTCATGGTGTTCTCTTTTTCGTCACGCAAAGGAAAAAGGAAAAAAACAGAGACAGGAACAGAATCAGAGACAGAGGACAGTGACAGAGACGAAGAGAGAGAGAGAGAGAGAGAGAGAGAGAGAGAGAGAGAGAGAGAGAGAGAGAGACGAAGACAGAGATAGAGAAAGAAAAAGAAAGAAAAAGAAAGAAAGAGATACATTTCTTTTTTAGCATTCGTTTGTTGGATCGTGATGAATATAACGGGGTCCAATTCGAACTCTTGGTATTACCAATTTCTTTGACCGAACGAAGAGTTAACAGAGAACGTGAAGATATAACCCCTTTGATTGGATCATTCCAAGTGTAGAACTGAACCGACGGTCAGCACACACCAAAAACCGTCCTCGTCCTCTATTTTCATTCGTTCAAAGAGCCACGAGGTGACGCGAACCTGCAATTTAAACTGCATTTTCGCGTGAGCCGTTATAATTGAGGACCGGCCTACTACTTATGTTGTTACATACATATATATATATATATATATATATATATATATACACATGTATATATGTATATATATATATATACACCCACATACAGAGATACAGATATATATATTTATATATAAATATGTGTATATATGAATTTATGTACTTATATGCATGTGTATATTAATATTTTTTACTTGATTATATATATGTACATATATATGTACGAAGGGAGAGGGATCTACAGATCATGGTATACCTCGATCGAGATCTCTTTAGTTTCTTTTAGTCTCTCTCTCTCTCTCTCTCTCTCTCTCTCTCTCTATCTCTCTTTTTCTTTTCTTTACCCGTTGTTCGTTTGTCTGTTTCTATCTCACTCTTTTTCATTGATACATCGATAAGAATTTGTAATTTTATTGTACATGCCATCGATCGATCGAAGATCAAAGGCCAAGATCGAACGTTCTCTTTTTTCGATTTACAAAATGAGTACGAGTTCGATTCGATTTGATTCAATTTCGATTGAATATTTCGGTGTAATTTTTATGGTAAGAATCAATTTTGTAATTGCGAGTTTGACTTGTAATTGAGAAATAAGATGTGGATTGATTTTGTCGAGTAAATATGAGCTTGATTATAGTTGTAAAAATGTTTGGAATTTTTTAATTTTTCTCTGTCGGTATTTAACAATGGATTAATTCCATTGTAGTTATTTGAAGTATTTGTAGTTATTTGAAATTATGTCATTTAAGAAAGATGAAATACATTTTTTATGATCATTTTTCTTCTTCTTCTTCTTCTTTTTTTTTTTCTTTTTTTTTTTATGATATCGTTTATTTGATAATCATTCTTTCGATCCCCATCAGATCATAATTCTTTTGCTATATTTACTTTTATCATGTTGATTGAACGTTAATTGAGTGTCCAATTATTCTCCCATAGTTAATTACATGTTAATTGGGATTAAATTATTGCTTTATATATGAAATTTAATGATAAATTAAGAATTATCGCAATTGTACGTTGGATTAATTTGTCTAATATGAATTTAAGGATTATAATAGAAAAATTTTAATTGGAATTAATTGTGAAAAAAAATTAATATAATATATAAACGTGATATCGATTTTTGTTTCTTTTTGTTTTCTTTTTTTATTTATTTATTTATAATTATTCCACAATCGTCATCATACTTAAATTCTTTTTTGTCTCTTAGTCCTATCAGAAATTTTTTTTCCTTCTTTTTTTTTTTTTTTACGAAAGTTCAAAAAATCAAATTGTAGCATACATATTGCATTAATCGATTTAATCTAAGTGTTTGAGGATTGAAGGAAGAAAGAATTAGTATTATCATTTGTTCTTTTTTGCTTTTCAATTTTTTTTTCTTTCTTTCTTTTCATTCTTTTCAATACTTTTTAACCATTCGATTTCGCATAATCGATTGAAGGAACGACGATGCCAGTAAAGTCGCATAGTCGGTGATATAGAATCGAGCTATGATCATAGCTCGCGTTCTTTTACGCACGAGCTTGGTCTTTTTTTTTTCTTCGTTTTTTTTCCCCTTCTTTTTTTCCTTTTTTTTTGCCGAGACAGTGCCAACAAGTCGGCGCCAGAGAATTTCTCATGTCGCGAGTCGTGTTTGCGGGCAATTAACAAGAATTCCAACGAAATGAGCAACGTGCACACCGTCGACGTGTATACATATTTTCATACGAGATACCTGTTATACTCTCCTTCCAAGTGATTTTTCATTGAAATTATTATATATATATATATTTCTTTTTCTTTCTATTTTTTCTTATTATTTTTTTTTTTTTTATTACGACACTTCAATTTTTAATAGAGAAACGCTATGATTTTTTTCTTGCTTCATCGATTTATATTTTCTTTTTAATTTTTTTTTTAACAACGTTGTTATATTTATTTATTATATCTATTGCTATTATCGTCAACATTTTACTATATATTACATATATATATATATATATATATATATATATTATATTTATTCTACATTATTTAACTATTATTATTTACGATGATATACTATGATGATATAGTATATATATATAATATATTTAATTATATTATAATATATGCATACTTATTTAAATATGTTTCAATAATGCTTATATTGCATATATTAAAGACTTTTTTTACAGAACTACATTTTTTTCATATTTTCCTTTCTTTTTTTTTTCATATTTGCAAGTTGTAACTTTTAGAAATCTTATTTTGTCTAGTTTCTAATATTATTATAAGCATATAAATATCCTGATTATTACTAGTTCTAAACTAATCTAAATTGTATATATATATATATATATATATATATATAGAATATATATATATATTCTTTTCTAAGATATCATGATAGATTTTCTTTTGAATATAAATCAATGTAACACAAAGTAAACGATATGAAAATTCATGAAGTTTTGTACTAACCAATTAATAAAAAAGTTAATAATTATTTCGAACATTTTACAACTATTCTTTGGTATATATATATATATATATATATATATATATATATAATCAAGAGTAGGTGATTTTTACATTTTAAATAAACTTTTGTAATAACTCGCTTCAGTCGATAGAAAAAAAATCTAACATTTCATGGTCAATC